CGGATGTCGGCCAATGGGGGGGGGGATGACTTTTTCGTGGAGTGGAAAAATGTGTCCGGCAGCTTTGCGCACCCGAGGATACGGCGCGTCGCGTCGTGAATCGACATGAACGCGCGGCAACACGTCTCTTGAAATTTTTCTCGAGGTCGTGTCTCAGTGTCCGCGTCGGTGAGTGGAGGATCGGGGCGGGGGAGTAAGCGGGGGGGGGGGAAGGGAAAAAGAGAAGCGAGCGACGACGACGGCATCGAAGGGCGCGACTGTCGCGGGATAAAGACAGGCCGGGAGAAATATCGTGGTTGAATAGTTTGCTTATTAAAGGCCTCGGTGGAGTGTAAAAATAAGGTAACACAGAGGAGGACCCTTCCTCAGTGCGATCAGAACGCGCGATAACGCGGCGACGGAGAATCGCTTCGCACTGGCCAATTAAAGAGAAGCGCCCGAGAGGTCCCGACTGAAAAATTAATCCTCGGGACGCGCGATCTTCTTTTTCACGTCGTTACAGGCGGCACAGGTTGCTCCGGTGGACCGTTACACTGGGCGCCCTCGTCACTTGTTATCCCGCGAAGAGAATTTCGACTCTGATCCGACGAATCGTCGGGGATGATGTGACGCGCGAACGAAAACGCGACAGAATTGGCAAGAAGGAGAAATAACAAGGAAATTATTTATTAAGGCGAGAAGATATATAAAGACATCGATATTACGCCTCGAGGATTAATTCTGCCGATTCGACGAATCTGAACGACGCACCTGAATTTATTCTGGACGCGATGAGTTTCTATCGATTGCCGTAGAAGTCCGCGGAAACGAGGTGAAGAATCGCGGGGTTTTTACGCCGGGAAGCTCGAGGAGAACGGAAAATATGTATAAGAAAGCGAACGATGTCGCAGCTGGTTCGCCCGAGAAGGTGAAAAATGGCCCCGCGTGGAGAGAGCCCGCCCTCCCCGCCTAGCCCCGTTTCTTCTTGTTCCATGACCTGAGCTCGTTATAGTCGTTTTCTATCTTTCTTCACCTCGGAAACGAGACCGGGGAGATATCTAACGTCGGGAGTAACGGATAGCTCGACAATAGAATGTGTCTGCGGCGGAGTCGGTGCCTGCGTTGCGTAAACTCCCCCGCGGAAATCCGAGGCGAGCGACGTCAAATCGCTCGTTGCGCTCAATCTTTCGTATGATTTCAGCGCACCCGTCGAATGCTGGCTTTATCTCGCCGACTGTCACGACGCGAGGAAGAAACGAATATTAACCCTTTGCTGTCCTACATCGAGCCTGGACGCAATCGCGTCGCGACGGTCCATCGCGCAGTTCTCCAAGCGTTCGAATTCTGCACGCGATTACAATAGGCAAACTATACCTTTGGGCTCTCCATAAATTCTTTCAAGTGACAAAACTTCTTCCGCTCACGTTGGACCAGTCAATAGGATGAAATTGGAGACGGAATACTTCATCTTCCCTTATTTGCGAGAGATAATTTGAACCGCAAAAGGACTGAGCTAATCCTGCAATCGAAATTTGCAACAACGTACAACGAAGATATGAATATGAATCGCATCCGCGAGCCGTTGATCGTTACCTAATTCCTCCTGTATTTCGCGACAATTATCGGCCTTGATTTCACCGCGCGAGGCCGGTTCTGGCTTTGGTTCGACTAGCCCGGAGGATTGTTGCGAGCTCGGCTCAGCTCGCGCCCGTCGCAATGGGACTTTACGTGCGCGCCGGAATGCACACAGGAATGAACGACTGACTCGAGTCGGCCTGGAGGGCAAGATGCCGATGGAACCGCGCTTCGTAAGGGAGCCGGCAAACGGTTGATCGATGCTTCGTGGCCTTCCCTCGTTATCTCACGGAAACTCGGTGCGTTCTATCGATCGGATATACCTTCCCGGGCCGTTCGGGCTTTCGGTCGCTCCGAGGAGGAGGCGCCCGAAAGCCTCTTTTGCTCCGGATTTCGCTCGAAGAGCCTCGCGGAAGAGAGAGATAGAGAGAGAGAGAGAGTCGACCGGGGGAGGAAGGAGCGAGGAGAATTCTACGTGGGTGGCGCGTCGTCCGTTGAAAGCCGAGCTCTCTCAGGGCTGACCGGAAATTGTCGAGAATCTTGTCGATCGCGATTAGTTAATTAAACACGACTTTCGACAGTGACGGGCGCGTGTAACTCGAATTATGGCGTATCGATTTTTCGTCGATGCCCGCGTGATCGGATGAGAAATTAAGGCGCTCAAGCGGCTCTCGGACAGATGTTACGACGGACAATCGCGTCTGGCTTTAATATCTCTCGATCGAATAATCACCAGATATTTCTATTTATAAACCTTGGAGCGATCGTGCTTTCGAGACCGTGAGACAAGTTTTGCATTTCGTGCACGTACTTTCGTTCTCACCGTAACTTCAATTGCCACTTGGACTGGAGAAATATTTTTTTAACACTTATATTTGATTCTCGCGAGAGAAGAAACAGCGAGCGAGGCAGGGGAGGCTTCTCAGCTCCACTTTCTTACAATTTTCATGCAACGGCGCAACTTCGCGCGCGATACCTAAATTAAATTGAAATTTCGCCCCGAGTTTGGGTACGTCGCGATCCGGAAGTACGATCGAGTCTTAATGGAAGCGAGTTTCGGCGAAATGTTTCTCGCGTTTCTTCTATGCACACACGCCGGGGGGGGGCTCGAGTATATATGTGCGTTTCAAAGGCAAATGAACGGTCGGCGAATATTGTTGCTCGAACTGTACGGACGTCTCCGTCGGCCGAGATCGGTCTCGGTGTGCTATCGACGACCTCGGTCCAGCGAGGAGAAACCTTGCGGATGTATCGGATCAGGCGGGTCCGGGCGCAGCCGGTCGCGCTCGTAAAACCGGAAGCATTGTTAGTGGAGTGTCCAATGTTCGTTCGCTGGACGTTGTTAAGAGAACGAGCAAGCGGGCACACACAATCCACACAGCAATCCACGCGCGCGCGCACACACACACACACACGTCTGAGCGTACAAGAGCGAGATATCTCACGCTGCATCGTAAAGCGCGCAAATAAACCGAACTCAAGTCAAACGAGCGAAACTCAAACGAGAGACGGGGACGCGGCGGCTGTTTTAGGTATTGCTGGGGGGAGGCTGGCGGAAGGACGGCAGAAGGGGGTTGGTTTTAAAGTCGTAAAACCGTGTCGCGAGCGCCATAACGAACGCAATGCGGAAATTCGCCGGCTAAATCCCAGAATGAGCGAAAGAGAGAGAGAGAGAGAGGGCAGGCGGGAGCAAGAGAAAGAGAGAGTGAGGGACCGAAGGCAGAAACGGAGAGGAGAGTGAACGGTCGAATGGCACCTATGTGTTCGCCGAACTTTCTCGACTAATCCACCGAGCTTTATGAAGCTCTTCTCGAGACGAGCATAAATTCGCGTCAACTCTGTTGTTGTCGCAGGCGACCGAGGTCCACCGAGCGGGGGGACCGTGCGGAAGAGCGACCGTATTTCCCGCTGCGCGCATTTGCGTCACGTTACTTTGGATTTCAGAGGCAGGTGCCGAGAAGAAAGCGTCAGGTCCGAGGGAAATATAAAAAAAAAACGAGTTGTTTCGTCGCGTCTTGCGATAACCCTTTTACTCTTTACGAGCAGCACCTCGACACGCACGTTACTTTTTCTCCCATACTTTCATCGCGCTTGCGATATGATGACTTCGTGTCGCTTCGAAATGTGATTTCAAGTCGGGAACGGGCTGGACGCATTATTGTTCGTGTTGCCGATGAGTAACACGGCGTGCTTGATCGTTGACGAGAAGCGCAAGAAGCAGGCGGGAAAGGGGTTAACGAGACAACACAAACGTGGGTGACGACGAGAGAAAAAAAAAACGAAAAGAAAGAGAAAGGTCGGAGAGAGGCGAGATCACCGTGAACGGTATTAAATTCTGCACGGGGACATGTGTGGTACAGAGGCGGCGATGTGTAACGCAAGAGAATCAGTGTTCAAAACGGAAAGGCAACGGGAGGAAACGGAGGTGAGAAAACGACGTGTTTTAACGGCGTGTTCCCCGGCAAGTAACGGACGATTACAATTGTGTTAGCTCAATCCGAAGTCCGAGGGGGGGGGGGATGGTTATGCGGCACGTTTAAAGGAAGTAGAAGATGATGACGAAGATAGAAATATGTAAGTATATAGACAGACAGAGATATATGTATAATATACAGGAACGAAGAGAGAAAAGTCAACTCAACATACGAGAAAGTAATATCTCGCGCGGAACGTTCGTGTCGACGTCGTTCTACTGGGTGCATCGCGGGGTGCAAGTTGCTCGCCGAGGAGCATTTAGCTGAAATAAAAGCGCTCCCGCCATAATGGTGGAAATAATTGAAATTTTCGACTCGTCGATCAAGACAATTGCCGTTGAATTATAATCTTACGTCATATTACGCCTTGCCTGTCGACCGTACTAATTTGAGAACCGCGCAGCGGGGAGGCTAATTGTACCGTTAACTTTACAGAGAAGATACCGAAGATAAATTAAATTACCATCGATACTGCGTACATGCGTCGAGGAAACCGAGGTTGTCTTCCCGCGTTATTATTGCGTCGGTAGAAAAAAAAAGATGGCAGTACCTTTCCACGTCATTGAAAAATATCGTGCGAGCGTGAAAACCGCGTTTACCGCGCACGGGGAATACACTTGTTCCGGCAGAACGCACGTCACGAGGCGCACCCGCGCGATAAAAACGCAAGAGACAGAAACGGAACGGAAACAGAACGGAACCGAAACGCAGGAGAGAACACTGGCGGGGAGGAAAACAAGGAACGAAAGAAGGAAACACAGAAACAAAAAGAAAAAAAAACGAAAAGAGTTAAGATCACACACTTTTGTCACAGATACATCGTGGTACGAAAAGAAAGGAACGGAGAAACGGAAGAAGAAAACAAGAAGAGAAGGAAGAAATCTCTCGTTGGGTTATACTCTTGGCACGCACGAAAAAGAAGAAAAAAATCTTGGCTCTTCAAGTAAGTCGTCGGCTCTCACGGGGACTTACCATTCTTTTTTTGGACAACGACTTTGGCTGCGACTTTACGGGGGTTGCGGTATGCCGAACGATCGGAGTTTTGAGTGGTAGTAGTAGAAGTAGTAGTAGAAGTAGTAGAGGTAGTAGTAGCATAGTGTCGTGCCGAGATAGGAGGAGTCCAAGGCCAGTGTGATTGATACAAATATAATAGAGAAGGAGTACGATATAAAAGACAGTCAGTGCAACTTCGGGGGGCGGGGGTGTGGGCGGGGGGGTTGGGGGGGCGAGAAAGGGGAGGGCAAGAGCGAAGGGGGTTGTGGGCGGCGCATATATCTCTCGCGATAATTAAAGGAGGCGAAACCCGGGGGGGGGGGGTAGGGGAGGAGAGTAGTGGAGGGGTGCGGGAGGGGCCGAGGGTGTCTTTATTGATCGAAACACCGGGACTCTCTGTTTGAACTCTTTTTTTTTTTCGATCAGAGCGGCCTAGCCGCAACGGCCAGGAAAACGTTTCTCGCGAGCGCGTTCTTTACGAGACGGCTTCGGTGGGGGCGGGGGATGGGGGTGAAGGGGGGTGACTTTCTTTCGGGGCTTGTGGACCCGGCCCGGTGGATGGATACTTGTTAGACCCGGTGGTCGTCCACACCGGACAGGTGTATCGATCTGACCTTCCGACGCGCCGCGAATTGCGGGAATGAATTAACCCGGTGTCTCCTTCTCGGGCACACGTGGACGAATGTAAAATTAATCGGCGGCAGCCAGCCGACACAGATCGATATCGCGGATATCGTAAAAAATATATACGTCTTTGTCACGGCTCGGCGATGACGTTCGATTCAAAACCCGATCCGCGCTGTCGCCGGAGAGGGGGTGGGAGGAGGGGGAGATGGGGGGGAGAAACCGCGATCATCACCGGTCGCAAAGCTCCATCCGCCGATTCCCGGAGAGGGTCTTTCAATTTTTCTCTTTTAAACTTTCCATACGTAAGGACGATGGGCAGAGTGACTATACATATACATATGTGAGATATATGAGAGAAAGAAAAAGAAAGTAACAGAATAGGGGGGGCGGGATGGACGTGACACGCGTGAAATTGAAATTGACCGTGGAACTCGGACAGAGTGGTTAGAGAGTCGATCGGAGCAAACGAAGTGACAAATAAAATCGATCTGTAGACAGTCCCGGGGTAACATCGAGAAATAATGAGGGCGAGATCGATTTACTAGCGTCATCTTACCCGGTCGTTGCGATGCATGCGTGAATTAAATTAACGCGTGATGCGCAAGATGGCAAATGATGATCTCCGCCCGATTAGCTTCGAGCTGAAAAAGTACTTGGAACTCGTAAAGCTCAAGACCCTCGCGAAGTAGTTATACGTGCTTTGAAAAACAAGCAAAGGGGATCGTGCCATCTTGAACAAACGTTTAATGGAGACAGGGTGAAGATGCTATGAGTATAATGATGCAGAAAATCAAAGTCTACCGTTGAAGATGTAAAAATCCAGGCTGTGTGCCGTCGAGACACGTCGTATATGTATTACACACACACATGTATATATACGTAATCGGGGAAATGAAAATAAAAATGCCAAGAAGAGCAGATACGGAGAGAGAAAAAGAGCGGGAAAGAAAGATAAGTGAAAATCTCACATCTCGATGCGAGAAATCGCAAGTATCGCGAGACAGATGATCAAAGGTAAAGAAAAAAATTATATATACAAATATGTAGAAAAATGGTAAATATATATACACACACACATATATCACGCGCATGGATCTTATATAGAACGGAAGACGAAGATGAAAAGAGTCAGACGCGAACGTACGTACGTTCTTCTCCTTCCGAGAGACACGATGTTACGGATAAAGAAAAGAGAGAGAGAAAGAGAGAGACAGAGAGAGATAGAGAGAGAGAGAGAGACGGTAATAAAGAAAGAAAAATACGGAGGGAGAGAAAAAGAGATAGAAAGAGAAACAAAGAGAAACTCGACATCGAGAAACTACTATGAAATAGCTAAGAAATTAATGATAATCAATGAAGCTCTTAATCGTGTGACGTCTAGAAGAATCGAGCGGCGTTTCTTACCATCTGTCCGTGCAGCGGGTGAAAATGCAAACAGAAAGAGAATTCAAGATTTGTCTCTGGAAGTTACAAGAGTGAGATCGCGTGGCGGGGGGAGGTGAGGTTATAGAGACATTTTCTTTTTTTCAAATCAACTATTCTTTCGATGAATATCCGGGGAATCGCGCGCCACTACTGTTTCTTTTTCTTAACTTCGAGAAGATGAACTTTAAGAGGGATGCGCGAACATCAGCAAAGTCATGTGAGTCGTGGGGGGTATCCATGAGAATATTTAGAGTACGTAGAATTCGCAGGTGTCGTTGAACGATCAAAGAAATTGTGGTGGAAATTGACCGGTCGATCGATCGTGCGCGCGAAATTTGCCGCGAGGCAAACAGAAAAAAAAAATACGAGACTTCGTTTCGAAATTGCGTTAAATTAAAAGCGATCGGACGAAAAATTAACGGCGCGTTCCCACTTTCATCGCCGCGATGAAAAGCGAACAGTCGCGCGGTTCTCGGCGAAATTCGCGCACGCCGTTATCCAATCCGCGTGCACGATCGATCTTCCCTTTCGGCGGAGAATGCGACGATTCGCAGAACGGGGGGGGATTCATTTTTCATCGTTAGATCGTCTCCAGATCTTTTCTATCGGCCCGGCGCGCGCGGCGGGACGTGAGGGATGAATCCGCGCATTCTCGCCGGTGCACGAAGATGATGCGGTCTCTCTTAGATCGTGTCGGAGCTTGTAAGAGATTCCAGATATTAGCGGAATCTCTGCCCGTCTTATCTCTCGCTCGTCCGTCCGGCCGTCCTCTGGGTGACGGATAAGATTGAAACCGCGTCTCATCTCACGCCGCCATCGAAGCGTCACCTCGAACGGAATGAATTTATCGAGGATCAGATTTAATCGAAAGAAGCAGATCTCGCGAATCGAATGACGGAGATGCTGCGGGGAAAAAATACGCTCCTCCAGCATAATCGCGGGCGTTCTAAATAAAACGAACGAATTTTTCTGATTCGCGAGACGGTTGAGACTAGAGACCCTCTAATCAGAGTCTGGACATGCGGTATCCAGCTTCTGATTGGTTCGCCATGTTTATGATTTTCCCACTGAATTTTGAACTGACAATTTTAATCCACTTTTATAGTTTTACAAACGACAGGTCATCGTGATTGATTTTCATTATTTTGATGCGTATCCCATTGTCGAGGTGTTATTGCAAAATGGTGCTGCACATCCACCCATTTTTGCAATAAACAGCAAACTCACACTATTGTCAAACTTCGTGCGATGTGCGGTTATATTTTAGATGACGTCTCGATCTAATGGCAGCTTAAAGAGAGAGTGAGATATTCGCACTGCTCTCTCTCTCTCTCTCTCTCTTTCTCTCGTTGGATTTGACTAAACATGGCGGACAGCTCTGTTGGCCAGACTCTGATTAGAGGGTTTCTGGCTGAGACAAGAACGGGCGTTTTCGTCGCGTACTCACAACACCCTCGTGTCGTGACTCTCTGCACGATTTTCGTATTAGACAAGAAAAATTCAGACACGTCAAAAATAGCCGATGTGAAAGGGTGAAAGAAGAGAGCGACTCTGATCACGATATAAGAGCGACCAGTCCGAGTGCCGATCTTGTTCGAAACGTCTGCAAAGTAACAGTGTATACGGATTAAGGTGGGGATTGAGAGCTAAATGGTAGACATTACCTTCCTCGAGCGCGTCATCGCCGTCGCTCATCAGCTCGTCGTCCGAGCAAATGTTCAGCACGTTCACCAGCATTTCTGTGACTGCAAGTTAAAGCGAAAACCGTCTGTCAAATTCCGAGCGCAGCATATCTTTCAATGGACTGCGCTAATGAACTACCTTATCTCTACTTCGAAATATTTTACTAAAAAATTTAAGATATCTGTTTCCTATCCCTACGCTGATAAAAAAAATATCTTAATAAAATAAACATTACTTTACTCAAGAAAATTATTCATTAGGTGGCTCCTAATAGTTTATTAATTTAAATTTAAAAAATAATAAACAAATTAAAACATGCATTTTTTAAATTTAAGTATTTATTAAATATTAAGCAGTAGATAATTTTAAATTTAAAAAATTGTACTTTAATTCTATAAAATGTTTACTAAGTAAATAAGATATAAGTTTTACAGCGAAAAAAATTGGATTTCTTATATTTGACAAAAACAATGATTTAATTTAATAAATAGTATTCTCTATCTTATAAAATCTTTAGTTAAATGTAGAGAATGTAATGATTTAAATTAATTAATTTAATATAATACGCAGATTTACTTGAAATTTGACATTTTTATTTAAATAGAATAAATATTTCCTTCAGTAAAAAAATAATTTTAAGTGACTCTATTTACTTAGTTTAAAATAATTTTTTGTCAGTGTAGTAGCACAGTACATTGGCTAAACGTTGGCCCAATACAACCAAATATTGGGCCAATGGCACTGTGCTACTAGGGATCTAAAAATCATCGCATTAAAATTTGTCCCATATTTTTTTCTCTCAGGTGTTGATCGATCTGTTCGATTAATCATTAGATTTAGTAGCACCTCGCTACTAAATAAAATACGTCGCGTGCACACTCAGATAAAAGATTTAGTTAGATTAAAGAAATGCTATTTACTTGTACCAAAACAATTGCTAGATTTGAAGAAACAGATATGAATTCTTTCAGAAATTCCAGTCTCGATAAAATAAAATTTTGGTTAGGAAATCATTTGTTTGAAATGAAGTAAAAGTCTAGCCAGGTGAAAAAACAAATTTGTTTGAAGCAAACTTTTTTCTGGGTGTAGAGATATAACAATGTTTGACAGAAGCAAGCGGGATTCGTCGGCGACGAAGTGACTTACCTTTCTCGCCGACAAACGGTAGGGACCATGTGAAAACGTCCATGAAATTGGGCAACCAGTACGGGTGTGGCGAGCAATTGAACTGCCTGATGTTCATCACGTTGTTCTCGTACTTTAAAACCGCCGCCTGCGGGCACAACGAGCACACCGGGACTTTACGATTGCAGACCAGCGCGGTCCACGCGGGTCGTAAAACGAACGACGCCCGGCGTGGACCATAAATGCGACAGTTTAAATTAATGTCCAAGTTTTACAGTCAATGCGACTGGTGGGCGCGAACTAGGCCTTTACCTTGTTGTTGTACACGTCGAGATAGTTGGGCGCGCTGAAGATGGTGATAAGGGACGGGAAGCCCGTCGTCTGGGACTTTCGGTACATGCGATATCCGGCGTCCTGAGCCTCGTGCGCCCTTATGATGCTGAGCAAATTGTTGTTTTGCAGAAAGTCGCAACACGCCGCGTAACTGCAAGCAGACATTATCGATCGGTCGCTTAAAGATTGGGATTCGTCTATTACAACATTTTTCTTAGCATTAATGAACAACATGGGACACTCCGGTGGCGGGGTAAATGACTCGGCCTCCTAAAACTTTGAATAGAACGCCGACATTTTTCCGAATAAATTCCGCAGCAAGATCGCTACGGGGCGTGCAAGTTTCACGAGCGCTCGCCAGGCAGCCACCGACGCGGATATTCACACCGGGAAATTCGTGTATCTTAAAATCGCGACCTGGATTAACGTCGTAGCGCGCGATCTTTTTTGGCACACGCATCGAAAACAATTGCGCGAGCGCCAAACGATCAATCTTAACGCGTCGGGAACGACTGGCGCAGCTTTTTGTGCGTGACTCCGTGGATTTGCACAGAATTGCCGGAGCGCTCTAAACATCCAAGTCGAATTAGTTTCTATTTGTGAGATTGATCGAAGCTCCGGCCTTAGATCGCTAAGTTTCGGGACGGGTAAACTCGTTAGCGCGAGTCAGGGTGGCCGAGTCTTTCGTACGACGTGCGGCTTTTAATGGCGATCCGTCCCTATCAGCCGGACACCGGATGGCGAACGTACCGGCGCTCATGCCCGCGTAAACAAATGAAGCCGCCGAAAACGTCAACGGGACGACCCTTCTCGCGCTACCATAACTGACCCGGCCAAGAATCGTGAGAAATGTTTGCGCCACGTCGCGGCACGGTCATTAACGGCCATTAAGACCCGTTCATAGCGCCGACAGAGATTAATGACGAGGTGAAATCTCTCGAAAACCGCGCCGCTCGCCAATGCGGCCGGTATCGATCCCCGGGTCGTTGAATCTTAACTTCGATACGCACACATCCCGGCGCGGCGATAAGATGATTTATTTTAACGTCGGAACGTTATTGCGGCGCGCGAGATGTGTTCCGCTTCCTCGTCGTAACAGCCGCACAGCGGCCTCGGGTCATTAGGGGGGGATGGGGGTGGGAACGGGGTAATCAGGAGCTTCATTACGAGTCGGACGTTCCAGGGGGAGGGTAAGTGGTACGGGTCCGCGGTGCAGTCGGACGACTGCACCGGCGATTACCGCCGGACTGCTTGCATACTGCTCGAGACGCGAGGTGTGATTTATGTTCGCGTGAAACTTAATGCACGTCCCGGACCGAGGCACGATAATGCGGGAATCGAAAATGAGGGATTAACTGGGACGTCTTCATAACGGCCGCCTATTATCTTATCGTGATCGCGATTGCCGGCGCCGCGACCGCGCGCGTATATCAATGAACAACTTGATTATGAAAATCACCTCGATAAATTACCCTGCCGTTGCTACTCGAGAAATACCGGCATACGTACGATTCCTCGCTGGCGTGAGGGCAGCAGAACGATCGTCGTAATACGATTCTGTCGTAAGACTTAAGCCAGTGTCGAAGACAATTGTCGTAGACGTATGTCGCATCGCAAGGCGTCGTACGACAATTTTTTGTAACTCGCGACACTGACTCACTTACGTCTTACGACGGAATCGTAAACGGTTACGATGATCTTTCTGCTCAGGCCCTAAAGGCTGAATCAGACCAGCAATTGCCGGCTCGGAATGGATTGGAATTGGCGATTGTCTTCTAGCCAATGAGAACAGCCAGCGATTTAATCGACTCTCATTGGCTAGAAGACAATCGCCAATCGCCAATCCCAATCAAATCCGAGTTGACGATCGCTAGTCTGATTCGGCCTTAACGCGTCAACATTAAACAGAGACACTCGATATCAATTTGCCGCCGGAGATCGCCGCGACCGCGTCGAGAATTAAAACGAGTTTTTCCGGAATTTAATCTATTACAGTCTGCCTCGCGGACGCACGTGGCACGTACGTGAACAAATGAATAGGAAACGTTACGGACGCGCGCGGGCGCGCGAGACGGCTGACACTTAAACGAATCTCGGTGCTCATTAGCGCCGGCCGTTCGTATAATTAGCGGAGCCGCGCGAGGAACTGTCGCGTCCGCGGTTTGCTGACGCTGTCGTATAACGCGGCTGTTATTAATCGCGCGCGGGGCAAACCGCGGACGTGTCCGCGGATGCTGACGATGGGACCGTGCGCGACGTGGGACCGAACGTGACGCACGTAGGAAGATTCAGCGAAGAAGGAGGATCTCTCGGGATTCCGCGGGGCGCCGGAAGGGCGGGAGAGGAAGCCGAAGTTACCTCGTTTCACGCTGCGTGATCGCGCGAGAGGGATGTGTCCGACGCGCTTCCGGCTGCGCCGCTCGCAAACAGATGGCGAGATAATTACCCCGTTGGAGGGAGCTAACGGGTTGGCTGGGAGGAAAAAACGAGGACCCGAGGACAGCCGCGAGATGTATCGCACAAGCATATCGCATTTCCACGGCAAAAAGAACTCCAGCTACCGCCGAGCGCGGCGATAGGGTGTTGACCTCGTTTTTCCTTTTCTCCGCTAATACGTCCTTTATTATTACGTTAACACCGTGGTATCGACGCGTTCCACCGATATATCGACGACACCAACGAAAAGTATTGTAATTGCATTTCCGATTATACGCGATCCTTTTTTTTTAACACTCTTTATTGGCAGCGTGGTTTAATGAAATATCGTAATTTTAATCCGGACAATTTTGTATTCGCCTGTTTGTATGTACATATGTACATTGCAATTAATAAATGAAAGGGGAAGAGAAAAGTTGTATAGATACGATTATTAAATTTCTCTTTTCAATTGTTTCATTTAATTTAGGGATTTATAATTCTATAAAGTTATAAGCAATAAAAATGAAATCTTCCGGAAACTAATTGTAAGTTTTCAAAGGAAGTGAACAGATAACAGAATCATGTTATTCAATTAGTTCCAAACAGATTTTACTTTGACTTTAGTTCTAGACTCGAGTCGTGGATACATATACAAAATGCATTTTAATATTAAAAAAAACTGGAAAATTGTGATATATGTAAATGGTATTCAAGATCATTTTCGTTAAGAACCAATCACGCTCAATAAGCGGTATTTTGTGCAAACTTTAAGTTGGCGACTGACAAAGTCAGTTAGCTGAATTTCATTAATCCCTCGCGTCGAAACTACAAAGTTTATTTCCAGTCTTATAAAACTTCGTATCCAAAAGCCGATAAAAACTCACAGATACCATGTCCGAAGTGGTCTTACACCAGAATTCATACTAGAATTTGTACTGCGTGGCGACGTACTGCGGAAAGGGAGAAACTCACCTGTAAAAGTATGAACAACCCCTGACGCTATTGTGGGAGAAGTGCTCCGCGTTCTTCTCGTTGCCGAAGTCCTCGAGAGGATCCGACCAGAGGAGATCGCACATCGGCCCGAACGCCGGCGGCTCTTTGAACCTGTCCAGCTGGAACAGCGAGTCAACATTGATCGAATTAGCTCAAGGAATTAACTGGTGGCACATCGGCCGGCGCAAACGCAGCGTAATTTTCAGCGTAATTGTACGGGCCATTGTCGGGCTCCGCCGGGACTCACATCGGGCTGGTCGGTCAGTTTGCACTTTGGACTGTATCCCATTTGGAGGTTTAGTTGGTCCGTTACACGTTACACGCGAAATTTATGTGGTTCTGATTGGTCCCGGCTAATTGCGACCGCTTCATTCACGGTTACGTCGCGCCCGTATGTCGTAACGTTTGATTTCGATTTTCGGAATCGCTTCGTAACAGCAGACTTTGGCCCGGTTTCACCTACGTCGGTTAACCTTAAGTTTATTGTTAGTTTCATTCGTTCTGTCTCTCTCCGACTGTTACTGTAGAAAGAGACAAACATGAGTTAATCTAACAAGACTAAAGTTAAGCGACGTTTGGTGAAACCGGGCCTTAAGCCGACGGCACGCGGAACTATTTTTCCAACTGGATTGTTTACGAGAGCCAATCAGGATTCAGTCTTAACTCATCTGATGTAAAACTCTGCATCCTGATTGGCTCGCGCAAGCAATCCAGTAGGAAAAATAGTATCGTATGCCGTTGGCTTTAGATCGAGGTGACTTAAGGCTAAATCCTGATTGGCCCTCGTAAGGAATCCAGTAGGAAAAATAGTATCGTGTGCCGTTGGCTTTATAATACTGCCACTTTGACGACTGCTCGGTACTCGCGAGACACCTCGGTGTCTCTGAAAGAGAGAGAGGGGCGGGCGATAATTTGAGCCCGGAATTGAATTATAATTTGACAGCGATTTGACAGCGTCGAAAACACGTATCGAACGCGACCGGGTCTCGAGGGCGAGGCAAGCTCCGCTGCGAGCTTACGTATCGCGACAGCGCCAAACAAGGCACACGTAAGCCGGATCGTCTGCAGATTGCATTAATTAGGCTAGCGAGCCTGACAACAATATGCTCGCCACGGATTTCTAAATGTCTATTGGCTGCCACTAAATCGCTAAGCACCGAAATCCGATATTCAATGTTGTTAGAATGGCCGACGGAGGTAGATCCTATCTCTCGCTGCCGATCCTGCTTGACATTCACTTGACACCGTGCCGCATATACATTTCCTTAAAGGATCGGCGTGTAACAGTTGAAAAACGATACACGGCAATTTACGTGACGCTTTAAAGTTAACGAATTCGAGTTTAACTACGCCAAAAATTGGAGGTACACGTTAAAATAAAAGGTATACGTAATTATGAGGTACATAAAGATCCATGAAAATAGGAGGGAAGATAGTACTTTGAAATTAGGAGTCTTATTTTCATGAGAAACATGTCACAGAAACATGTCTTGTTGGTGGATGCCCACAGTATAGACATCAAACGGAAGATTGATCGACATTATGTAATTTGCAAATGTACTCTGTACATTCGCAATTTAATTCTTTCTCACGAAAAATGTCTCGAACATCTATATTACAATATGCGTCCGTAATGTATGTAATATGCAGGGTTGGGAAAGTTACTTTATAAAAGTATCTAGTTATAGTTACAGTTTTTTCTGTTACAGTTACTTATTGAGTAACTTATTGAGTAACTGTAACGCGTTACTTTTCAGAATTGGTAACTTGTAACTGTAACTAGTTACATTTTTAGCGAAAAATAAGTAAAACTCAATAAGTAACGAATCGTTACTTTGCAGTTACTTTCTTGAAATGAAAATAAAAATATCAAATCTACATTTGAATTGTAAAGCGCCGATAAAGGGCCTGAGCACACTGGCTGTCTTGTACTCTTAAGACATAAGACAATTATTGTGCGTTACCTCAAGACAAGGGCTTAAAACATAAAACATTGTCTTAAGGCTGTTTTAAGAGTATAAGACAGCCATTCTGCTCAGGCCCAAAGGCGTTTATGCGTAAAAACCTAATGCGACCTGGAGGATTAAAATATAAAGTAACTATTAATGTAACTAATTAAATTAGTTACTAGTTATCGAAAAAAAATGTAACTGAGTTAAGTTACAGTTACAGATGGACAGAAAGTAACGAAGTTAAGTTAGAGTTACCAAAAAAAAGTAACTGTAAGTTTAACTTCGTTACAAGTAACGAGTTACTTTCCAACCCTGGTAATATGCACCTCGTGTCTTTAGCCGACGCGATTATGCAAGTGTGACACGACGAAGGAAGATAATAACAAAAGCTATCTCTCGTTGGCATGGAGACAGGCATTTGCAGGTACATTGTACCTCGTACTACCTGAGGAGGTACGTACGGGAACCACTTGTTACCTTCTAAAAAATGTACCGTGAATTTATAGACGGTACCACGAGCGGTACCTCCAACTGATCGTCATATATTCATTATTACCTTATATATCTTGTACCTCGTGCTAACATACCGGGAAAAATATCGTCCCTCCTATTTGCTTAACTGCATTTTGTTTGCAACTTACTAGATAGTAACTTACTTACAATTAGATAGCACTGTTTAGTAATTTATCTTTTTTTATAGTTTCGTCTCAGTTGATCGCATTGAAATAAAATAACACGACGATGAAAATATAAATTACCGACCACGCTTATAAATAAATTGATGTTTAGCAAAACAGAAAATTAGTGTACTGAGAGCCAAAGAAAAGTTTATTTTCTAAAAACTTTAAATTATTCGGAAAAATGTGAAACGATGTAAAAAATCCAGATAAATCGTACAATTTCCTGACTTTTCCCTGACAATTCCCGGCTTTCCAGATTTCCCTGACCACTGGACACCCTGAGAGTGTAACAGACGGAGAAAGCGTTAACGAAGCGTCCTTCTATATAAATTCTGTATAAACGTGGGAGCTACCGTAAACACCCCGGGCCCAATATGTACTTCGGTTTACTAATCCCGCGGAGAGATTATTTATTTGACAGACACTGAGCAGACGACGACGCATCGCGCTCCCGAATTTGTGAAGCATTCGCAAGCGCGCCGCGCGGATTTATTCTCGGGCCGCGCCGAGAGTCGAGCCACTCCCCTCGAATCGATGTTAAAGGCTCGAAAACTTGGACGGCGAAGTTTCGCTCCGCGGGACGGGCGAGTTTTCGAGCAGAGTGGATATCGAGAGCGGAGACGGGCGCGCGCGCAAGGACAGAGTCTCGCCGCAACGAGAGCTCTCAAATATTTGTTCCGTTGATCTAATCTCGCTGAGAAAAGTCCGCCGGCGCGATCTCGTACCCCATCAGCTCGGCTGCCTTCGGAAATCGCGTTTAATGACTTCCATGAATATGAATGGCCTCGAGAGAAGGGTAGGTAGGTATTTCGCGCGACGCCAAACGTCTCGTCATCGCAAACACGCTCTCCCTCCCCCCGCCCCTCTCCCTCTCTCTCCGTCTTTCTCTCCCGGGGTGCAATCAACGCGGTTAAAATATCGAGGACGAAGATCGCGAGACTCCCGTTTACGTTATTTATAAGCTTCGGTTCTTTTTTTTCCCCTTGCGTTCCGCCGCGTCGGAATTTTCCGTATGCAAAATGCGAAGCTTCGGCTTTATTTTTCATTAAGCGATATACCGATCCCCCGTCTGTTTCTCGCAATATCGTTGTGATTTGACCGTCAATCTTTTTTATATGGGTTTTATTAAAAAATTTTTTCAACCTCCACGTGCGATACCGGTGGAAAATATAATAATTCCGCGTGGCTCTGCAATTCGGCGTGGGAATAATCCGAGACGCAAAGATTAAAGCTGGTTCCGTACGGCGCGTTTATTCACCAAGTATTTAGCCGGGATAAATGGCGCGTGGTGAAAAGTGTCCCTCGGTGTAATAATTTTTTTCTTCTTGCAAACGCGGTAGAGAAAGGATTTGATTTACAATCAAGCTCGAGCTACAAGATTAAAATTAACGCTCGCTCTCAAATTCACCGCAAGCATGAAAGCTGAAAGACTGAAGATACAAGTTTTGATCTTTTCACTGGTCTACGGTTGTTAATTAATGCCACGAGGGAAGAAGAAAAAAATTTGGGAAGAATCGGTTTTTATTTATTTCTTTTAAAACGAACGCCGAAGGAATTACTTGGCGCGATCCGCAGCTCCGAAAAATTAATGAAAATTAATCGAAACTCGGAACTGCCAAGTCCCCACGGTGCACTATCGGCGCCGTATTCCATCTTCGACGATTAGCCGCACCGAAGTTGCACGACGTGATCTTGACGCCGGCTACGAGCTTCACGTAACAGGTAGCGTAATTACGTCGAATGGGTTCGCATACAAGTTCGCGACCCGTTTCCGCGTGAACACGTTGCAGACACGCGGGCGTATTGGGCGCTTATTACGATATAATGAGCAGTTAGTGCGCGATAATGACAGCAGCGGCATTAAGTGAAGCGAGTGTGTCTTATGTCTCCTATCATGTTTGCAGTGTCTATTATAATGATACGTAATAGTGTTTCATTGCCCTGCCCCCCCCCCCCTCCGTGCAACAGTCTTGCTTGCCTTTCGTACCGCATCGATCTTAAATTCCGCGTCCTACGTAAGAGGTAAATTTCTCCAAGTGAGAAACGCAGCGGGATCTGATTGCAACACGTCTCTAAATTAAATTTCAGATAACAGAATTATATTCAGATTATTCGTATAATGTGAGATCAGCTTCCCGCGGTATCTCGCGAACAAGATACTCGCGGTGCCGTTCCAACGGGCGTCGCAACGAGACACACGGGCATTCTCGTCTATATAATATATAAGTTGTCATCATTTGTCGCAATTACTTCAATTTTTGCACGGTGAGAGGAAACGGCGAAATCGTTACTCCTCTTGAAGTATGGAACAATTCGTTGATCACGCCAGTTCGTTTGAAAGAATCATTAATTAAAAATACGGGCTTCCAGGCCAAATTGCGGTCGCCGCAATGGCGCACTCGCGGAGAAGAACGGGCGAGAGGAGGAAGGAGCGAGGGAGAGAAGCGAGAGAGCGAAACGAGAGAGCGAGTGAGTGAGCGAGAGAGA